AATATATGTAGAGTTGATGTTATGCTTATACCTTTAGATTTAAGATTGAGTTTACTCATGAATCATGGCTGAATACGCCCTAATTTGCCATAAATTCAATTTGATGCATTGCTTTGTCTTACTCATTTAGTGCTTGCCATCTGCCAAACTAATGCAAAATGGTGTACCAATGGAACTGAAATAGCTTCATTACCATCTTCTTTCTCTAAGATACATTGTTTCTAGTTGGAATCCATCAACTTAGGAGGCTATCTTTGATTTCTGAAGGATATGTATAGTCAAAGGTTGCGTGATTCAAAAGATTAGTGAACAATATCCTTTGTTCTCAGAAACTTGAGGATAATCCCACTAATGGTAGATTCTTTTTATAAGTGAAGGTTCCTATGGTAACAACCGAGTCAGGCTTGCAGTACAAGGACATCAAAGTTGGTGGAGGCCCTAGTCCCCCTGTTGGTTTCCAGGTATCTATCCCGATGTCTGCTACTCGGATTCTTATGTAAAAGTGAAAGAGGAATTATTCACTAAACTAGCTGATTATCTTAGTCATTTTGCGATTAATGGTAAAGCCAGTTACATTATGCTGCTTCATTTTCGCAAATGACGAAGTTGTCCTTTATCGAATAACTTGAAGAGCATTGAGGAAAAAGAGCATGCCAAGAATTGAGAGAGAGAGAGAGAGAGAGAGAGAGAGAGAGAGAGAGAGAGAGAGTGAGATAGATTTTGAATTATCACATATGGAACAAAAGATATCTGGCTCCTTCATTCATGTAAGTTCCATTCAAAATTTTATTCTATTGATTATTTTGATGAGGTCAAGTTTTGTTTCATGATAACAGGTGGCTGCAAATTGTGTTGCCATGGTTCCCTCGGGACAAATTTTTGACAGGTCATTACATTACACCTATTTTGATTGGTTGCTGATCATTTTACAAAATTATATACATGCTTTCAACTTTTTTGGACATCTGGAAATTGTTTCCAGTGAAGCATATGAATGGTTATGCTTTTTCATAGTAAGGTGATGATGTTGTGACGCCAGATGATTGTATGTGCTCATGCATCATGCCATAGTTATAAGGGGGCACATATTGTACTGTTAGGCAGCGAAATAGCATAGTAAAGATCCTCCGAAGAAAAACGTAAGGACTAAAATCTCAAAGTAATAAATAGCTTCCAGGAGAAAAGAGAGAAATGGGAAGGTTTCTTTTCCTTATAGTATCTCCTTTAAGTTTGTTCCTTATTTGAACATGATGGAGAAAAAGTTGAGAAGTTATTCTTGTCCTTTCCTCATGATGTCATACATTATAAAAGTAACTTCGATTTCTCTTCTTAGAAGTCTTTTTATCCTTTCCTTCAAAACACACATTAATTCCTATTCTGCATCTAGGATAGATACTTTAGCTGAGAGTCTATCGAAAACCGCCTCTCTGCCTTTCCAGGGTAGGGGTAAGGCTGTGTACATCCTACCCTTTCCAGACCCCACTTGTGGGAATACACTGGGTTATTGTTGTTGCATTCAGGATAGATAAGATCTATGATTCTGAATTTCTCCAAAAATCTAACTCTGACAACATATCTTGATTTTTGAATTAACAGCTCCTTGGAGAAAGGTCAACTTTACATTTTCCGTGTGGGTGCTGGCCAGGTAATATTCAGTAAATGTTCATGAAAATTTATGATTTCACGACTGCAGTAACAGTAATAGGAGGTGAAGAGTAACTTAAAAATTATGTAAACTTTGTTTAGTAGCTACTGTTCTTCCAGCTACAACTGTTAGCTCTTTTGGTATTTTAACTTTTGCCGAAGTTGTCTAGAAGTTACTGAACTTCAGCTTTTTGTGTGCAGCAGCTGCACTTTTCCTGAAAAATAGAGACAGTCATTTAATTGGAAAAACTTAACAATTGGTTCTCCTAACAATTTTATTTCTAAAGAACGATAGTAGTCCGAATTGCTAGGGCTGTCTATCGGAAACAGCTTATCTACCTTCACAAGGTAGGGGTTAGGTTTGCGTACACACTACCCTCCTCAGACCCCATTTGTGGGATTCCACTCGGTTTGTTGCTATTGTTGATAGTATTCCAAATTAAATACTCTGCGCAAGATGGATTTCAAGCTTTAAAATTATATGTAATACTAGTGCTCTATATTTTGGTTAAATGAATTAAGTCTCATACTTTGGTAGTTCATACATGACTAATTTCAATGGCTAAAGTAGGTAATCAAAGGACTTGACGAAGGGATCCTGAGCATGAAAGTGGGAGGAAAACGTCGAATCTACATACCTGGATCTGTAAGTTCTCTGCCTTTTGAATTTCTCATTCTACAGACAGCAAGTCTGATTCTTCAAGTAGATAATAAGCTCCCCACCCATCGTGCACCCAAAATTCGGTCAGCATGAAAATTACATTGTGCAAATGTGAAAAAGATAATTATAAAATCAATAAGCAGAGTTAAAAGATAATTACATTTTGCATAAAGAAAGAAAAATAATACGCATCTGTTACTGCATTCTTGTCAATAGCTTACAACTCTCTCTTTTTTACTCTCACTTCTTACTGTATTCTTGGCAATTGGCTTGAAATAGTCCAGATTAATGAAGTTCTATTACAGCCTAAGTCTCGTATTTCTGTTGAATAGTTGGCGTTTCCAAAAGGTCTGACATCGGCTCCTGGAAGGCCAAGAGTGGCTCCTAATAGCCCAGTGATATTCGACGTGAGTTTGGAGTACATACCAGGCCTTGAATCCGACGAAGAATGATCGATCATTTTAACATTTTTTGTATTGTTTTCTCCTTGGCATGTATCTATAAAGCTGAGGAAAGGCTCATTTTACTTTCATTATTTCTACTGTATGTCTCTATTATATGCTCAGTTAGCTGTATACAGTTCTTGTGATGTGCTCATAAAGCATACATGAGTATAGACATGACAAAGAAATGTTAAATATCACCCCCTAGTATTTTGTTCCTTCCTAGTTTCTTCTATGTGGAAAATAGGAAAACCATTTTGCCAAACTGGTCACATCTAGACTGCTTTTATTTTAAGAGTTCAAGTTTTTTGCACTAAGGGGTTGTTTGGTTTGTGGATAAGGTTGTCCTGGGATTAATAATACCGGGATTATTTAGTGCTATATACTTCGTTTGGTACATTGGATAAAAAATGGGATATGCAATATATAATTCAAAATATGTGTTTGTTTTAAAGCTGGATAAATTTTTGTTTCCAATTTTAACCTTGAATATTTTAGTGGTTTAGAAAATCGTTCACTACACACATGTAAACTAGAATCAAGATGATAACGGTTCTGAATCAAGATAATAACAGTGCATATTAGAATGACAAAGAGAAGCCTCAACACTAGCTGTGCACGGGAAATCAAGTCCTCAAAAATGCAGAATCTGATTAAGCCTCAGAAAGGTTGCAGTGAAAAGGGAAGAAGGATAATCTGGTCATTTCATATCTTTATTAGTTATCCACCTAGGAGATGGGATAATTTAATCCCAATTTGTGGTATAATTTTATACCGTGTTTAATTAATGCCTCAAACCAAACATGGGATAAATTTAATCCCAAATTCTATACCACTTTATCCCACCAAATCTCAGGAACCAAATGACCCCTAACGGTATAAAAATTAAATATTCGAGCTACAATAACTTGCAACTTAAAGAAACAAAGTGTGTGGCCTAGTGGTCAATGAAGTGGGTTGAGAACCATGAGGTTTCATGTTCAAATCCAAAACAAAAACATTAGGTGATTTCTTCTATCTGTCCAAACTTTGCTGAACAGAGTTACTTGGTACTTGTGCTAGTGGGAGGTGGCAAGTACTCATGGAATTAGTCGAGGTGCGCACAAGCTAGTACGGACAACATAGTTATTAAAAAAAAATGACTTGCAACTTAAATATTAGCTACACGGATTGTTAGAAGTCAGGCTTGTGGTTCATAAGGGGAAAAAACCAAGGCTAAAAATACACAGCGTCAAAGGGATCAGGACAGAACTAGAGAGCCGTAACGGCTCTGCTCAACTTAATAGTTTTTATTCAAATAGTATATTTGTGTTAAAATTCATTAAATATTTACAAATATTAAATTTAAATCAAATTATTAACACTTGAAGTCGATCCTTTTAAGATCTAGAACCCACAAATTTAAAATTCTAACTCTGTTTCTAAAAAGATAACATATAGTATATAAATACACTTAAACTTAACCTATTTACCTAACTTAATTTTCAGGCGAAGGTTGTCTATTGACCTGAATGGACCACGGAGGGCATCTTTTATCCTTATTCTCGTTCAAGCTGAAACTGATAGATTTGGACTTGAATTTGTGAAAATGTGGGGACATTTTCCAATGGGTAGTGAGACACATTTCTGCAACTTGAAAATAATGACAAAAGCAGCATAAGGGGGTGCAGGCACATCACTCCCTTTGATACGACAAATTGCATAGTACATAAATACATAATCATATATTTTAGCTCTCCAAAACAATAACAACAAACCCAATAGAATTTCACGAGTGAGGTTCGGGAAGGATAATATGTACGCAGACTTTACTTCTGACTCATGAAGGTGGACAGACTGTTTCCAATATACTATATATTTAGCTGTCCTTTTTGCTAAACTGTATCTTTATTCCAACTTTAAGGAGTACACTATACTCGTTGACTTAAAATACTGAACAATTTTGTGACAAAATCCTTGTAATTCTAGTTGCGAAACTCTGCCTAAAGTAACAACAACAACATATTCAGTAGATTTCTACAAGTGGGGTTTGAGAAGAATAGTATATATATAAATATTATCTCTATCTTGTGCAGGTAAAGAGCCTGTTTTCGAAAGGACGTCGACTCGGAAAACCTAAAGGATGGTTCAAAATATGATTACACTTATTAAATAGAAGCATCAGTCATCAAAACCTGACCGTTTCCTCTTTGTCGCTAATAAGATCATTTTGAAAAGATGGCAAAAGTTGTAAACTTTCAAATGGGAAGGGCTAAACATTAACACCATAATCATCTTCTGATTAAACTCAAAAGTTTGAAGTATATACATCTTGTTTTACACCTTAGCACCAGAACCCATAATTATTAAAAAAGATGAAGAGATCAATCTCTCAAACTGCCAAATCTTTATTACTAGCATATATAACACTAGACTAGAGCATATGGAAAATTGGACATGAAGAGTAGCAATGGGGTTTGGGGGGGGGGGGGTTCGTTTTTTTTTGGATCTCGTTGTCAGAATTTCTGACTTCGCCACTGATGAAGAGTAACCGAAAATGTTACATGACAGAGCAAGCATGAGGATTTTCATCACTGAAAATCTGAGGGGGATAATTAGCATACTCCATATAGATATAGTCCTTTGGATGCAAATATTCACTTTTCTTGATTTCTGTTGTTGTTTTATCATCTTCTCCTTTGCTTTCTTCTTGATCATTTCCTTTCTTTTCTTCTTCTTTCTCCTTTTTCTCTTCCTCTTTCTTCTCTTCTTCCTTCTTCTCTTCCTCCTTCACTACTATAGCTTGCTTCCCGGTTCTCTTGTACACGTCACTCACTAACTTTTCTGGATCAACGACTCCTTTTACTACAACTTGATTGTTTCCAAGATCTGTCGTAACAGATTCAACTCCTGCAATACATTTTCAAGTTCGTTACAATGTGAAGATTCATCTTGAATTGACTAGTTTTACGTTGGCTGTCAGCCTTCAAGTTCGTTACAGTAATAATGCACGATAATACATTAGATATGTGGATTGTAAAATATGGCAACCATATGATACCTTGAATTTTCCGAATTCGTTTCTGCAATGCC